AAGGGGGCATGATTCCCCTTGGTAGCTATGATCTCAGCGATCCAAAAAATCCTTGAATTGCTGATAGTAAAAGATCAACAAAACTCGCCCACTGTTACAGTACTGCAGACTAGTTGTTTGTTACATTGTTAATGTACTGCAGATTAGTTGTTTGTTTACTATGTATTTGTAATGCAACCTAGTTTTTTGTTTACAATTTTTATGTACTGCAGACTAGCTTTTTTTTACTATATTCAATGTACTAAAGACTAGTTTGTTTAGTATATTTTTGTACTGCAGACTAGTTGTTTGTTTACTATATTAATGTACTTTAGACTAGTTGTTTGATTACTATATTAATGTACTGCAGACTATTGTTGTTTGTTTACAATATTTGATGTGCTAAAGACTAGTATTTAGTATATTTATGTAAAGCAGTCTTGCAGACTAGTTGTTTGTTTACAATATTTAACGTTCTAAAGACTAGTATTTGTTTACTATATTTATGTACTGCAGACTTGTTGTTTGTTTACTATATTAATGTACTGCAGACTAGTTGTGCCTTCTGGTTGCCTGCTCAAGTACTCAACTTTAAGTTTGTACCTCCTGCTTACAGGTAAAAATTAATTATAAGAATATTTGCCCAGCCTGCTTCTTATAACTACTCAATTTTTAATCTTGATTTCCCAGTTTTTTTTTTTTCAAATTGGAATTTAAAAATCAGCAAATTGGAAAACTTAAACTTATAAAAAAATCTGTAAGTTAAATCCAGCTTAAACAATGTTAATTTTCCAAAAGTTAAAAGTCAAACTAACCTTTTATGTTATTCATTAATCTAATATCTAAAATTATAAGAAAATAAATTCAAGCATATTTGAAAAGGTTAGAAATCGTAACTGAATTCCCATGTTTATTGGGACACCCTGTAGTAAAATAAACAATGTACATATGGTTTAAAAGTTAATATTTATCAATAAGTTAATAAACATAAAATATTTCTAGGAATTAAAAAAAAATAACATATTTTTATATTTTCAGAATAGCATATAACGGAGCATGTGGATTTATTATATTATATTTTTATATTTTCAGAATAGCGTATAACGGAGCATGTGGATTTATTATATTATATTTTTATATTTTCAGAATAGTGTATAACGGAGCATGTGGATTTATCTGGGCAAATATACTCTGTTTGTTGAAAAGACAGGGAGAAGGGAAATCAGATTAAAATGTAAATAATAATCGATAAATGTAGTTTTTCATAACTAATACATTTTTGAAAAAAGAAAGTTAATCATTTAACTTTTTTAATGTTCTGTACCTTGTTGCTTGTCATTACATTTCTACAATGAATATGTCACTTCACACTAGACAGAAGGAGACTCTATTATATGTACGACTTTGTGACCTTGTAGTTCCACTAGTTTTAATATTTTACAATATACACATGAATATGAGAGGAGCAAATTTATTTAAATCAAATTTTGAAGAAAAAAAATTTATTTTGAAAAATAAAAGTTTAGATATAAAAAAAAACATATTTCAAAAAAAAAAAATATTTTTTTGCCTATGTTACTGAAGGGTTTCCTAGATAGATATATACTAGGATTCTAAAAAAAATTTGTTCAACTCAAGCTAGCTCTTCAATAAAAGGAATTATAATTAAAAAGATATAAGATTAAATGTTACTTAAAATATAATCTAGTTCACCTGATTGTATATGCGTGTACATATATACATATTGATGAGATAGATTGATATTTTCAAGATGTTTAGTATTTATGTGAAGTAAGGACATTTTTACATCGATACATGACTAAGTTGACTATTGTAAATAATAGCGTAAAAGAGGCTTTGATAAATTAATGGTGTATTAATTTTTATATGAAATGATCCGCACATCATGCGTGCAAAAAAAACGTGTCATAGAGTGCAGAGCGGCAGAACGTGACGCTTATAACGTCCTGACAGTAACCATATTTTCTATATATGTGAATATAGACTTCAAATATGCGTATATCTTAAAATATTAATGTTAGTGGGCCAGATGTTTGATCTTTTCCGTAACTATTGTATTAAATTGGTTTAAATCATTCAGTGTGCCGACAACATTTAGTCCTAGATCAATTATTACTATTTGTAGATAACATTAAGAGACCTCTAGCGGTAGACTTACAAAATTAATTTAGATCTTTATCTACAGCTGCAGAGAGCAGAGCAGTGCAGCCTGCCCAGTTTATTGTATGCTAATGCTAAACTATATAATGTAAACAGTTCTCAATTTAAATACAATTCACACATGTTTCTAAGTGAATACATTAAATCATTGAAGGATGTGAGATAAAACAAATAAAAAATATAGTTTTAAAGATTTAATTTGCATTGAAAAATTATGCATTTCTTTAAATGTTATATGTTGCACCTCGTACCCCACCCTATGTTTCATTAGATTAAAAATAAGTGCTTTATCTAATAAATTACAAGGCTTTTTAGGCGCTTCGCGCCCATCTTTTTTTTCAAATTTTAATTCTTTCAGTGTTTTCTCTTAGATAATTGTTCATCAAAAATTGTTTAAAAAAAACAATAAACGTGAGAATTAAAAATTTACTAGATACAAATATTTTTTTTATAGTCACCAATATGGGTGGTTGCAGAAATATATGTATGTATTCATCCATATTTATTTAAAGAAATCCATATTTAAAAAAAACCTTTTAGAAAAAATCTAAAGACAATTTTTAATTGGTACTGTCTAAATGAATTAAATCTAAAGTCAATTGTTTAATTGGTATTGTCTAAATAAATTAAATCTAAAGTAAATTGTTTAATTGGTACTGTCTAAATAAATTAATCTAAAGTCAATTTTCAATTGGTACTGTCTAAATGAATTAAATCTAAAGTGAATTGTTTAATTGGTACTGTCTAAATAAATTAATCTAAAGTCAATTTTCAATTGGTATTGTCTAAATAAATTAAATCTAAAGTCAATTGTTTTATTGGTACTGTCTAAATAAATTAATCTAAAGTCAATTTTCAATTGGCATTGTCTAAATGAATTAAATCTAAAGTAAATTGTTTAATTGGTACTGTCTAAATAAATTAATCTAAAGTCAATTTTCAATTGGTATTGTCTAAATGAATTAAATCTAAAGTCAATTGTTTAATTGGTACTGTCTTAATAAATTAAATCTAAAGTCAATTGTTTAATTGGTACTGTCTAATAAATTAATCTAAAGCCAATTGTTTAATTGGTATTGTCTAAATAAATTAATCTAAAGTCAATTGTTTAATTGGTATTGTCTATATAAATTAAATCTAAGTTAATTGTTCAATTGGTACTGTCTAAATAAATTAAATCTAAAGTAAATTTTCGATTGGTATTGTCTAAATAAATTAAATATAAAGTAAATTTTTAATTGGTATTGTCTAAATAAAAATAAATACAAAGAAAATTTTCAATTGGGTTGTCTAAATAAATTAAATATGAAGTAAATTTTCCCCAAGTAACAATTTTGCGGAAAATCCACGGAAATTCCCAGGAATCTTTCCTGGGAATCGGCTGAAATTCACAGGAATCTTTCACAGGAAAATCCGGTGAAAATGTTGACAGCTTTTCCCAGGAATTTCTCGTAACCCTGTCCGAAGAACCAGGTCTGAGGAATTTCTTGTAACCCATTCTGAGGAATTTCTTGTAACTCATTCTTAGGAAATTCTCGTAACTCTATCCAAGGAATTTCATGTAACCAATTCTAGGGAATTTCTTGTTACCAATTTTTCAGAAAAACCAGAGAAAATTTGTAGCGAAAAGGTCTTCAGAACCAATTCCTGGAAATTTCACTAGAACTATTGCCAAGATTTTCTCAAGAGTTCCTCAGGAATATCTTGAAATATTCACTAACAAAAGTAGTGAATAACTTAACAACTATATTGCCCCTCCAACAACCATCTTCTTAAGTCAGAATGTTATAGTCGTTTTTGATCTTACTGAAGTTGTCATGTATTTTGTTTATTCAGACAAGTGAATTGTCAAGAAAAAATAAAAAAAATGTTTTAAAATTTACAAATATTTTTTTAAAAGATGGTTCTTAAGTAAATTATCATTTTTTATCAATAAGGATGCAAAGAAAAAAAGATTTAGTTTGAGCAGTGCATAAAAGAAGAGAACCTCAGAGTTACCTATTGGTGAAAAACGGAACTTGAAAATTCTTAGGAATTTCTTGAGAAAAATTACTGAGATATTCTCAGAAATTTCTCGAAACTTATTCTTTTCCCTAATTCCCGAAAAATCCGTAAACTTGGTGACCAGTTTTAAGAATTTCTCAGGAATTTCCGGAGAAGCATTCTGGAGAATTTCTCAGGAATTTCTTGGTGTGAAATTCCAGAGAAATTCCCAGGAATTTCTCGAAACTAATTCTTTTATTAAATTCCCCTTAAAATCCCTAAATATGGTGACCAAGTCCTAAGAATTTCTCAGGAATTTCCGGAGAAGTAGTCAGGAGAATTTCTCAGGAATTTCTTGGGGTGAAATTCCGGAGAAATTCCAAGGAATTTCTTGAAACTAATCCTCTTAATAAATTCCCCGAAAAATCCGTAAACATGGTGACAAAGTCCTAAGAATTTCTCAGGAATTTCCAGAGAATATTTCTGGAGAAATTCTGTGGAATTTTGTGGGGGAAAATTCCGGAGAATTTCTCAGGAATTTCTCGAAACTGAGTCTCAAAACTGTGATCCCACAAAAATCTCTCATCTTGGGGACCAATTCTAGGGAATTTCTCGATAATTTCCGAGGAATCAGTTACTGTCTAAATAAATTAAATTTGAAGTAAATTTTCAATCGGTGCTGTCTAAATAAATTAATCAAAAGTAAATTTTCAATTGATACTGTCTAAATAAATTAAATCTAAGTTAATTGTTCAATTGATACTGTCTAAATAAATTAAATCTAAAGTCAATTGTTTAATTGGTACTGTCAAAATAAATTAAATCTAAGTTAATGTTCAATTGATACTGTCTAAATGAATTAAGTTTGAAGTGAATTTTCAATTGGTGTTGTCTAAATAAATTAATCAGAAGTAGATTTTCAATTGGTGCTGTCTAAATAAATTAATCAAAAGTAAATTTTTTAATTGGTATTGTCTAAATAAATTAAATCTAAAGTCAATTGTTTAATTGGTACTGTCTAAATTAATTAAATCTAAAGTCAATTGTTTAATTGGTATTGTCTAAACAAATTAAATCTAAAGTCAATTTTCAATTGGTACTGTTTAAATAAATTAAATCTAAAGTCAATTGTTTAATTGGTATTGTGTAAACAAATTAAATCTAAAGTCAATTTTCAATTGGTCTGTTTAAATAAATTAAATATAAAGTCAATTGTTTAATTGGTATTGTCTAAAGAAATTAAATCTAAAGTAAATTGTTTAATTGGTATTGTCTAAATAAATTATATCTAAAGTCAATTGTTTAATTGGTATTGTCTAAAGAAATTAAATCTAAAGTAAATTGTTTAATTGGTATTGTCTAAATAAATTATATCTAAAGTCAATTGTTTAATTGGTATTGTCTAAATAAATTAAATCTAAAGTCTATTGTTCAATAGGTACTGTCTAAATAAATTAAATCTAAGTTAATTGTTCAATTGGTACTGTCTAAATGAATTAAATCTAAAGTCAATTGTTTAATTGGTATTGCCTATATAAATTAAATCTAAAGTAAATTGTTTAATTGGTACTGTCTAAATTAATTAAATCTAAAGTCAATTTTCAATTGGTATTGTCTAAATAAATTATGCTTAAATGTAAATAAAGCAAAGTTTATGGTCTTTGATCTCTGAATGACCAAAAGATTAAAAACTTTCCAACTTTTTTATTTAAGTGAAATTGAACTAAAAAAAGTACCAAACATTCGAATTAATAAAACAGGTTTTTACCTTTTTTGGCTCTACATATATTTGGAAAAAATGATGTCGTTATGAATTGATGGAGCCAAAGTCGTAAATAATCTGGAATATATTTCATAAAGATTTTGTTTTGATCGACTAAAATATATCTTTTTTATAAATTCTAAAGATTGTTAGTATTAACAAACTTAACTCTTCAAAGGGGGGGGGGGCAGATTTGCCACCCACCCTGTAGTTTACCTATAAATTGGGCTTTTATAAATTCTTTAATTCTTGAAATTGAAACTTATTGACCTGTAAAAATTGAAAGGAAAAGTGAAGATTTTTTTTGCAAATATATTTCTGTTTAATTGCACTGAATGTTTAGATTTTTAACGTACTTTTGAATCTAACTGAATGGTATTTTCATCCAAGCATTTAATGATCTAACCATAAAAATCTTAAATTTTTGAATTTTAATAATTAGCTGGATTGATGAAAAAAATGTGAAAAAATATGGGCTGTATAAAAAGTTGCACGAACTAGCAATTAAATATTTTTTTCGTAAAGTAGGGGGGGGGCAAGAAGGCCCTTTTCCCCTTTCCTGATACAACCCTCCACCTTAGCTTTTTTTCGAGTTTAAAATGTCATTTTTTAGAGTATTTTCATCCCGATCTGTTTTCTGAACTCAGTTCCCCGGCGCGGTCAGCAAGTTTTTCTAACTCTGGTAGAGCGGAGAGGAGGTGGAGGGGTGTACTCGGGCCAGAACTTGGATTGTTGTGATTTAAAGTTTAGTCTGGACCCAGCTACCTGCGTGTGAACAGCGTGAATATTGTTATCCAGGATCAACATGACAGATAACAGAGGGGCTAACTTGTCCAGGCTCGTTCTTAAACAGGCGGGCAGGGCTAAAGAAAAGGTAGTTATGTACACTGTACAGGCCTGACATTGTCTGGTTGTACAACTGTACATGTGTAGCCTTGATGTTGCTATATATGGAACTAAAGTGGGTAACACCTGTTGCGTAATTTTAACCTCAGGATAAAAACAATTTTACATTGTGACCTTTTCAAACAAAACATCAAAACCTATTTATTTGTATTTTTCATCACAATTTACTAAAAATACATATAAAGTGTTTAAATAACCCCCCTCCCCCTCCAACCCATATACGGGTTTTCTTAATTTATAACATGTATATACACAATCAAATTACGGTAAATTTCAGCCATTACAAATTCTTTTTAAAGAATCAGGCAACAGAGGATGTTTAATTCTCAAAATGTTTTTGATTTCTGACATTTTATAGATAAAGCATTTCACATCCTCCTTTTTTTTACATTACAATTTTAAAATAGTCCACTTTTTTATCTTAATTCAGCCTTTTTCTCCTTCTTTCATGCTCTTTCCATCCTCTTATCAAATTTGTCTTGACAAGATCTCAAAAACTCAAATAACTTGGTACGATCTGCATTAGTTCACATTTTCATTTTTTTTT